GAGAGAGAGAGAGAGAGAGAGAGAGAGAGAGAGAGAGAGAGAGAGAGGATAACCTTCCCTTCGATATAGTCCTAGAAATGGACTGGGCAAAGGCAGCAGGGGCCACACTCCATTTGAGAGAGCACGAGTGTAGGTTCCCTAGCCCGTCAGGCGGGGTCAAGACTGCCCGTCTGTTTCATGTGTCAGGAGTAGACAACTCCCTGGCACATTGTTGCCTTAGCGCTCGTGCGTTTGCGAGGTTAGTGAAGAAGGAGCAGCTTTAGAACATGTTTTTGTAGCCTACGTTAGGCCGGTCACTGAGCCTAAAGAGGAAAAACCCTTAGATCCTGCTATTGTCAAGCTGATAGAAGAGTACACAGACCTAACTAAGTCGCCGACAGGGGTGGTCCCGCGACCCATCCTGCATCGTATCGAGATAGAGCCTGGCAGTAGGACTCCTAAAGGAGCAGTGTATAGGATGTAACCGCGGGAGTTAGAGAAGCTGCGCAAACAGTTAGATGAACTCTTACAGAAGGGTTGGATTAAGCCCAATTCGTCTCCATTTGGAGCACCTGTTCTATTTGTCCCAAAGAAGGAGCGAGAGCTTATAATGTGCATTGACTATAGGGGTCTCAATGCTATGACAGTGAAGAATGCAGTGCCACTGCCCCGTATAGATGATCCTTTAGATTGGGTGCAGGGTTACAAGTATTTTTCAAAGATAGATCTGAAGTTCGGATATTATCAGATAGAGGTCCATCCTGATGATTAGTTTAAGACCGCATTCCGGACGAGATATGGGCACTGGGAGTTTATAGTTATGCCCTTTGGACTAACCAACGCGCCAACAACTTTTGAGCGTTGTATGAATGACTTGTTTAGGCCGTGGTTAGACAGGTTTGTAGTGGTCTACTTAGATGATATTTTAGTGTTAAGTAGGACCCTGCAGGAGCATGAGGGTCATCTGAGTCAGGTCTTGGAGAAGCTGAGAGAGGCCAACTTCAAGATCAATGCAAAGAAGTGTGAATGGGCAAAGACTCAAGTTTTGTATCTAGACCATGTCTTAGACGGAAACGACATTAAACCAGAAGATAGCAAGATCGCAGCGATTAGAAATTGGCCTACGCCCTGCACGTTGAGAGAGTTGCGGTCGTTCTTAGGCCTAGCTAACTATTACAGGAAGTTTGTGAGAAACTTCTCCACCATCGCTGCACCCCTTCGCAGGTTGCCGAAGAAAGAAACACTTCTGGAAGTGGGACAAGGACTGCACGTCTTCCATGAAGAAACTGAAGCAGGTATTGATAGAGTATCCAGTCCTTAAGGTAGCCGATCCGTCCTTACCTTTCGTCGTCATTACTGATGCGAGCCAGTATGGTATAGGTGTTGTATTACAACATGACGATGGCAGTGGATATAGACCCGTAGAGTTCATGTCTGCTAGGATGCGTTCGGGGAAGATAGCGACATCCACCTATGAGAGGGAACTCTACACTCTCAGACAAGCATTAGAACATTGGAAACACTACTTGCTCGGGAGGCACTTCAAAGTCTACTCAGACCACTAGACGTTAAGGTGGCTGAAGACTTAGGCCAAGATGACACCTAAGCTTACTAGGTGGGTTGCAGAGTAAGATTAGTATGATTTTGAGCTCAAGCCAGTAAAAGGGAAGTACAATTTAGTTGCTGACGCTCTGAGTAGGAGAGCTGACTACTTTGGAGCGGTAGTTCATTATCTGGATATAGGGAAAGACATGCAACAGAAAGTTAGAGAAGCGTATGCGCATGACCCTATCTATAGTGACCTCCTCAAACGAGTAAAGGAGGCACGAGAGTCCGAACCGGACTACCGCGCTACTGATGGGCTGTTATTTGAGAAAACTAATGTAGCTGACCGATTATGCGTTCCTAACAGTGAGGAGATCTATGTTCCCCCCTGGCCGCGGTCGAGTTCGGTCATGGCCGGAACCCCCTCGGTCATGGCCGCTCCGGCCGAGAACTTTTGGCCACGGCTGTGGCCGATCGGGGAGGGGGTTTTAGGAGCGGGGAGCGGGTTTCGAGTCGGGGGGGGCTCCCCTACCCCCTCGCAAAAAAAAAACTTCAAAAACGGGGGGGGGCGGAATCTGGGG